AGTTAACATAAATTTGACACGTGAAAAGATTAAAAAAATAATAACATATCAGTATTATGTTAATTTTACATTGAAGTAATAATCAAAACGTCGTAACACAAGAAAAGTTCTACATTTTGACGCACAATTTTTTACTGTGTATGTACATGTCACACATAGCACAAAAAGAAGATTACAAGATTTATTATAACATTGAGGGCACAGTTGTACAATTTCGTGATAGCGTAATATGTTTCCGTATAGAGTGATTAAAAGTATAATCGAGCAATAAGAACAAGTGTGTGTACAATTGTGTTAGGAAATACAATGTTATTTAAGCGACATTAAGAGACACTGGTTCTAGCTATTCACATTAAATTGTTGGGAAAAAAAAAGAGGACTGAAATCACAATCGGGTAAATTGCGATAAAACTCATTGTAATATAAAAATGAGATTAACATCGAAGTCGCGTACCAATTACAATTTCGTACAATAGCGTGATGTCTTCCCGTAACGATTAAACGTATGCAATGGAGCAATAAGAACAAGTATAACGATTATTAAGTAAATGTAAGGTTTTTTTTAGCACATTGAAAGATACTGTTGCTATCTATTCACAGAAAATTGTTAAGAAGATTGCAATCGGATAAAGTGCAATATAAATTATTTTACGTAATATAAAAAAGTGTAATTAACTTATAATTCCTTAATGATTCCTCTATCGCTTTTATCGATATTACATTTACGAGGCAGCAAAATATGAAATAATTATTTAAAATCCGACATGTTACATTTTTATTTTAACACAGATGTATGTAAAGAGAGAAAGAGAGAGAGAGAGAGAAAGAGAGAGAAGAGAGTGCTACATTAATGATATAAAAATCATATAAATAACATAATCATATTTAATTAACCGTATTAAGTAAAATATATGTTTTCTATCTTTCTCATCTGATGGCTAATGTTATTAAGTAAAGAATAATATTATTAGCCAATCACAGTGCGAGAAAGACGGAAGAAGCACTTTATTTGACCAAATTAATGTTATTAGGGAAGAAGAGGAGACAATAAAATTGGATAGCTTCATCTAAAGAAAATCCACAGAATTTTTTCTACAGCTACGTCAGATATCTCTTCGTTTAAAATGTCTTCGTCGTTTTTTTTTTTTTTACATTTACAAGTGGAGCGTGGACTGTCGAAACAGCGCAGATGACATTAATTCTACAGCAAATTGTAATCGAAAGAAAAAAAAAAGCTTTCAAAATGTTCGTCATTGTGCTTGACTTTTATGTATGTCAACAATTCGGTTTTACTTTTCAACACTCACGGAAGTCATACACGGCGATGACACGGACATTTATCAAGAGAAAACCGTGTCGTGTTCTCACTAAATTAACTTCTTGATAACTGAGCGTATTCCGCAGAGCAAAAACACGGCCAAGTTTTTTTCTTGACAAATGTCCATATCATCGCCGTGTATCATTTATTGCTGAGAATATTATTAGAATGTAATAATAGAAATCTCTGTATAACTTATTAGCTTTTTAAGGTATTGTACTGTAAAGGTTTGTACAATACGCAAAAAAAAAAAAACAAAGTCAATAAGTCATGCAATATCTTTACTTGCTTTTTATTATTGCATTCCGATAATGTTCTGTCCGACAAATAAGATACAATATTCTTTCAATCGTTAATTTCAATATTTAAAGTAAACGAAAGGCAAAACGGGAAAAAACAGTCCGCGCTCTTTAAAAAATTTGTGACTCGTTCTACTGGATCACATTTTGATCTTCTTCTGCCGTATCTTTGCCCAAATCGGGAAAGTATCTCAGGCCAAGTGTCTCGTTCGGTTTTCTCCCAAACGCGACCGATTCTCCCAGTGACTTGCAGCATCGTTTTCCGATGCCGAAGTTGAAGGGATAATTGCGCTTGTTTTCCATTAGCTCGTCCAAATTATCGTCGCGAGCGCGATAGCCATCCATGTTGTCGATCGAGAAATTGTCCAGATCCAGGGAGTTGTATCCATTTCGTTTCCCTATCCCAAATCTGTAATCCCTGGGGCGCTTGCCGATGCCAAACGAGAATTGTCGGGATCTCTGCGAATAAAATTTCCATACGTGCAAAATACGGCATATGTATATATATAATAATTACCTAAAAATATTCTTATAACAAATTATTGTTTTTATAACAAATTGGTAATAAATGTTTATATAAAGTTTAGGTATAATTTATGCAAATTATTGCTTTATATTGTTATAGTAAAATATTACAAGTGGCGCTTTTGTGTAACACTTGACGTTCTTGAATTATTTTTTAATAACAAAGAAAATTATTGAAGAACATTTCATTTATCTCTAGAACTCACTTTATCGTCGTTATTATCAGCCCATCTTTTTCCGAGACCGAAGTTATATACAGGCAATCTTTTATATTCGGGAACATAAGCGTACGCTCTTTTTTCGTTTGGTCTTTCCGAATACAAGTTGTTCGGAATATGTAAAGAAGAAGATGGGGCTTCTTCTATCGCCGCTACCGATAGTCCAATTACACTTAAAAAGTAGAATAACGGAATGCTTGTAACTACGAGGCAAGTTTTGGTCTTCATTCTGCTTGCGAAGATCTGAAAGCACAAAGATCATGTGGAACTGTAATTAAGAATCGGTTACTGAAAAAATGGCAAAATGGCATTTTGTTTCTCTTGTCAGTAACAACATGTGAAATTTTGCAGCTCACTGTTCATAATGGAATTTTTAAAATCGTAGAAATTCGCACGGAACTCGGTCACCTTTATCGAAACTACGACGGGAAATTAGTTTTATCAGAGTTCAGCTTTGCAATAAAGAGAGAGAGAGAGAGAGAATTATACATGTGACATTTTGCACGTACTTATTCTCTGATGAGATGAATTCCCATAATCTGCAAGATAGTTTCTTCAAACTCATACAAAAAATTTGCGCGATACTAAACTACTACTTTGTTGATTCGAAAAGTCTTATAACACCATGTGTATTATAACATATGTTTTAATAATAATAAAAACGTATTATTTGCAACACAGAAATTATCCTTTCGTCAACGTAAAGGACAATTACTCTTGTATTTATTTTGAAAAATCTCGTAATGTGTCACAGAAACTACGTTAATGCAACACTCTGCGTGCGAATTTTATGGTTCTTTCGAAGCGCAAATGCACGCAAATGGACCTCTGCCATGTAAAAATAAAATGAAGACTTATTTACGACTGGCGAGGGATAAATGCCGCTGCAGTAGCTTCTACTATTTCGAGGCTAAGAGGTGTCGCGTCGACTTTACGACATGGATTCCAACAGCAGTATTGCTCCGGTCTTCCGTAAAGTACTGTCACTATCACGAGACTCGAATTTCAGTATTAAATCTAGATAAAATCAAGAGTACTTGATTTAGTTTTTCCGTCATTTTTTTCCCACGAACACTCTTTCGCCGCTTTTGTTTTTTTATATGAGATACAAAATCGACGGAGTATGTGTGTGTGTGTGTGTGTCAAGAGATTTTATTTTATAACCGAGAACTATACGTATGTCGTCATATTTTTATTTTATTAACAAGCTCGCGCGTCATCTGCTGCAGACATTTTTTTCTCTTCGAGGTACTTGCATTTTTATCTCGATTCAAAAATAAAATAAACGCCACATAGCACACGTCCCGGCAAACGTAACAGAATACAACTGCTGTATAACATGGAAGTAACATTTAATATAATTATTGTTATTATCAGTATTGCAGTTATATTGCCGTCTGTTATATAAGTCTGTCATAAGTATTATATATTCTTTTGTTATTTATCAGTTGCAACAACATTTTTTTATATTACATTACAGTTACAATTGCGTTGTGAGCAGTAACGCTGCCGTCAGGCATCTGCTGTTCCCGAAGTAAAGTTTTATTGAAACTCAAATATATAAAGCGGTTTAACACCGACACTCAGTGGACTAAAAGAAAAGTTTTGATCCGTTTCTAAAGTATCTAAAAAAAACAAACATTTGATAACACGTTATATTACTGTTATAAAACTAAACAATTTTCAGTGAGTGGAAAATTATACGTACACGTTACGTGTAATATTCTCGTACGTTACATGTAATTTCTTTAAATTATCTGCTACATTCTGTTACATTGCGACAATATAATTACCGCATATCAAGCGACATATACAAAGCATCAAGTTGACAAAACAAATACACAAGAGATAAATATTTTGCTGTACTTTCTATCTTATACATATCTCTTATTTATGTCTACATTTATGAAATAATAACCACAAAGTCTTGCACAAACCCGCGGCAATCATTTTACGTATCCGTAATTAATGGTTACGCTAACGAATCGACTGAACTTACGAAGGTTTCGCTAATATAAACAATAAGAAGCTGAAATCAGAAAACACAATATAACGTAAAGACAAAGTGGTTGCGTGCAAATTATCCTCACTCTGTTTTTTTCTGACTTGTAAAGTCCGACGCGGTGCAAATAGCACAGTTGCAGCCACTCGATACATTGCGCAAGATATTAATGCGCATATCTGAGAACATGTTTTAATAGAACCAAATAAGAGATGAAGAAACGGTGAGTAGTCTCGTGCGATCTTACGTCACTATAGATCGCTCAAACTGAAGTCCTCCAAGGGCAGTCCGTTTAATATTTGATGAAATCCAACAGATTACGATCCTCTTTCATTCCGCTTGGTCACGCCGTCTTTGAATGGGCTTAAATGGATGTGTAGAAAAGTATGTGATTGACTAAAGTACAGATAAAACTGAGAAAGAGACCTTTAACTCTCTCTCTCTCTCTCTCTCTCTCTCTCTCTCTCTCTCTCTTTCTCTTTCTTTCTCTTTCTATCAAAAAAAAGTAATAATCAAAAATTACTTTTAAAAATAAAACACAACACCCGCATGTGATCTTTTGCGTTGTTTATCGATGTGAAATATGTTCGTGGTTAAATTTGCACAAGCGCAATTAAGCTGATATTTCTTGATCAAATTAAAATAGCAAGTCCCACGCGCAATTTGCAACATTTAATTCCAGCGGATTGTCGATTCGAGTTAAAGCATGAAATTAAAATGGCAATCACATTAGGGAAAAAGCGGTGTCCGCGAGAAGCGCAATAAACGCTTCTCACAACCTGATCCGAGTCGGCTTGTAGATAATTACCAGTGAACGAGAGCCACGATATGCTATGTTTATTTAAAAAAAACAACCAACATTTATTTTAACACACAATTTAGAATTTTCTTTTATTACATTAGTTTTGTGGTAACCGCCACACTGCTGTAGAGTAGCGACAGAGCTGACCGCTAAAATTGTTCCGATATTTATCGCGAACTGTGTAATCTCTCCGATAATGGAATTGGATGTTATCGCTAATTTTATTTTGTTGCGCTGCAAACACAAAAGTGTATGAAAAAACTGGAAACATTTTCGTGAACAGAAATGCAGAGATTTCTGGTTGTATGTATATGTCGTACTTAAAGCCGAGAAGCCACTGCTCGGTCGCAACAGGTGCCTCTTTGTTTCTTCTTTTTGCTAATTGCGGTTTTACTTCTCTCTCGCGAGCATTTACTTTCATAAATGACTTTATTTTCGATTGGCGATAACGTGCGAGTTACTCCGGGCGAGTTTTTGTCGACTTAATCAATATTAAACTTTGCGCTCTGCACAAGTTTTCTAAATAAATAATATCTTTTTTCTGTCAATAATATATTTTTCAATAACATATCTTTTTTAATTGATTGACCTATGTCACGGAAAATGAATAACTAGTTTTTTTTTTTTTTTTTTCATTACGTCGAAGCTTGCTATATATACGCTCTCTCTGTCGTATATCTTATACCAACTCCGAGAATGTGCGGGATTCGATCTGATCAGTATGTATGTGAGAACATTCGAAAAATGATTCAATTTTGCATTCATGACACTCGCATGTACGTTCGAATATAGTGATGCAACTTGGTGATAAGTTTTATATATATGTATATGTACCATATTCTACAATTCTCTCTCACGAAAAACAATCTATTACAGGCTTTCATATTATATATTTTTATATGAATATAAATATGCATGTCTAGGAAAATTGCTATTTCGTGTCAGAAAAATATTGTTTCCTCCTTCGATAACGAGACTACATCGTAGTGTGTTCGCTTCCTTTATATTTTTCTTCTCCCATAACTAGAAAGCTTACTACTTAGCTGTCACTCAAGTTGTCCGGAATTGTCTCAAAGATTATTCGACCTTCCGAATAGAAGTTTCCCTAATGCATTTCGCAAACAGAAATTCTGAACACGTGTGTGACAAGTGGTCGTTGAATATTTTATTACACAACAAAAGAAAGAGAACACAATACCGTCATACAGAAATAAAAGCAACTTTTGTTTGTCGATGTGCTTATAATAAATAAAAAAATAAACAAATAACAGAATAAATTAAATACGAAAACAGAGAGAAATAATAGTTTTATTGTTTTATTTACTTTAACAAACAAAAACTTAAACAAATCTTAAATTTCACGCAGTTTCTCTGTGTTTTCACGCGTTGTGGTAAACTCAACGAGAAAACTTTATTTTTTTATGAAAGTACTAGTCAATATAATCAAAATTTACAATAGCGTATCTTAAATGTCTAATTTTTAATTTAATTAAATTAATTGCAACATATATTCGACATCTATGCAAACATTAATTTACGTTAATGTCACAGTTCAAGAAGTTTATGTATACTAAGTAGCTTATTGCCAAATCTGATATGAACGACAGCGTGCGTAGGACTCATATTTGTACGCCACCGTAATAATACTGCTAAAATATGAGTTAATATGTCATGCAATTAGAGTGAAAACTATTTATTACATTTTAATGGAAAATTTAATGTTTATACGTCAAGCGAACAGCTTAACCTTATGGAAATAATTATGTGTAACTTCTATATAAAAGCTTAATATAATTTGAATGCAAGGTTTGTTTAAATCAAGAAATAACGTGAAGTAGGGGTAAACAGTATAGTTGTTGGCCTCCCAACAGTAATTGGCCATGTAGTAAAGAAGTAATAAATATAAAAAAAATACTATCATTATATTCTAAATTATAAACATTTTAATATTAATTAAGTTTTTCTGCTCCGAATAAAAGTAATATTATAGTATTTAAGAAGCTCAAAAACTTATTGTTATACGATAATCATTGACCAACTGGCCAATCACTGTTTTTAAGGTTATGAAAACCATATGACAGTCATTGGCCTCTTATTTTGAGTTATAAATACAAATGTAAGTAGGTTTGTTAGTTTTTAATGTGTTATAAATAAAATATTCATTCCTATATTTTCATAAGTCAAAATAAAAACTTTATTATGATAACTGTTATGTAAACAGATACTAACAGAACTCATATGGCCAATAACTGTCTATTTTGACTATAGGAAATATTTTATCAAATTTTGAACAATTTTTCAAATTTTCTAATAAATTTATTAGTTTATTTGCGATTGTTATAGTTTGTTTGAGCTAGTAGTACTGAAGATTTACTTCAAGTTATTAAATTTAATTTTATAATTTACTCTATATAGCGCAGTTTTCCTTAAGTGGCCAAT